CGATGACGATACGCACCGTTCAGCGTCGTGCACGGGATGAGGCACTGAAAGCAAGTCCCTGCAATAGCCCTGGACTCGGGCAGATGGGGGAAGCGAGGAGGAGGAGGAGGAAGGGGAGAACACACACCAGCTAGTATTAGACTGCGGGCCAGACTTACCAGCGCCAGAGAAGCAGCCGCAAGAGCGGGGGAGGAAGGGAATCAGAAAGGCGAGGAGAGGGAAGAGAGAGGACGGATGGATTAAAGCATTGTGGGCGCATGTCCCCATGATCCGACCGATTTTTCAGATCATCGGGCGACACACAATACCAATCAATGCCACAAGGTCGGCACATACCCAGAATTCCTGCCAAGCCGCAGCGGATGAACCAAAGAGAAGGGGAGGGAGAAAGAAGAGGGCGAAAAGAGGATATTGAATGTCGGGCGCACGCACTCGCCAACTATACATGCTGAGTCTGATGGTGGGCACTGCGGCGCCCGGCAAGCGCGACGCTGCTCCGCAGAGGCTGACAACGGCAAGCCTGGGCGGCAGAAGCGACACAGGGTCGGCCAACAGCGGCCACAAGCACCACCGCGCAGTGCCCGTGCAGGCAGCAGCATCGAAGCTGCCAGTTCAGGGAAGGAGGGAGGAGGAGGAGGGGAGGAAGAGGAGGAGGAGGAGGGGAGGAAGAGGAGGAGGAGGAGGAGGAGGAGGAGGAGGAGGAGGAGGAGGAGGAGGGGAGGAGGAGGGGGGGGGGGGGACTGCGCGCTCGCACCGAGCGGCTCCACGGAGGCCCTGGGCGGACTCGCCGTCCAGCATGCCAGCACTGCCAAAGCGACACGCGAGGAGGAGGAGGAGGAGGAGGAGGAGGAGGAGGAGGAGGAGGAGGAGGAGGAGGGGAGGGAGGGAGGGAGGGAGGCAGACCAGACACACAAAAGGCAATGGCGCAACGAGGAGGACGATTACCTCACTCACCGCAGGATCCCGTCACGACACCAGACCGCCTGCAGCACGCGAGTCGCCCGGGGGTGGCCGCGGACAGCCTGCCGCGACAATTGCGGCAACGTCTCCTGCGCGTGTGCTGCACGGGTCTGGCCGTGCTCGGCGGTCAGGACGGCCCACCACACAGCCGCGACCCGCAGGGCCGACAGCGTGAGCAGCTCGCCACTGCATGCCGCCTCCTCGTCCAGCAAGAAGAAAGCCCGGCGGCGAAGATACAGTTCGCCCTGAGGCGGTGGTCGCCGGAGGTAGTTTACAAAAAACAAACATAAGGGCGAACGCAACAATGCTCAATTGCATCCTCGCCGTGCGGACATCCGAGCACGCAAGCGCCTCTTTGTTGGAACCGCCGCTCTGTCACCAATACCTTCCAACACGTGCGGAAGATCGCCGCTGCCACCCGGGGCGGCACGAGCGATGCAATGCAATGCAAGGCAATGCAAAGCGATGCAAAGCAATGGAAAGCACTGCGCAGCAATGCGCAACATTGCACAAAAATGCAACGCAATGCAACACAATGCAAAGCAATGCAAAGCAATGTAACGCAATGCGAAGCAATGCAAAGCAAAGCGATGTAACGCAATTCAAAGCAACGCGAAGCAATGCAAAGAAATGCAAAGCAATGCAATGCGGTTGCAATGCAGTCCAATGCGATTAAAATCGCACTGTACGGGCGGCGGCGACAAACGGCGGCGACAGGCGGCGACGAGCCAGCTTGACCGCCACTGGGGTCCAGCGTCGACGGCGGCGACGAGCAGCGACGAGCTGGTCAGACCACCACTGGGGCCCAAATGCCGTAGAACGGAAGTAAGAACCCCTACATGCAAGCACTGTTTGGGGAATGTCCGTGAACTGTTGGAAGTCCGCGCGGATCCATCAGGTCGGCGCTGGAGCCCCCCTGGCGGCGCCACCGAAGCCCTGGACGCGCTCATGCGCGCCCCGTGCGCCAGGAGAATTGGCCCAACGCCGATCCAAGAAATCCGCGAGGACCTCCGAAAACTTTGTTTACGCAGGCTTGTTCTTCACTCCGCTGTGGAGGTTGTCATCATCCATTCTGCTGGTCGTTTACCGTCTGTGTTGGAGGCTTGGGAATTTCTACAGGCCGCCTGACTCCTGATTCTGCTGCGCACCGGACATTGTCCTTGAGTGCGTTCTGGTCAAGATGTCGAGGCGGATCCAGTCACGAGGGCCCTCCAGGAGGCCCCAGAAAGGCAAACAACACATCAAAGGTACAAAGACCTTCAACTACAACTCCTCCGCGCTCCTCCCCTGCAGGTTTCCGGAGGCCTCCAGAGATGAGCTTTTCGGAGGCCTTTAAAGCTCTCCAGAGCTCTGTCTCCTCCGCCCTCCCTCCTCTGGGAGGAAGAACACGCATGTACGCACACCCGTGCTGGGCAGGCCCATCCTGGGCCCAGGATCTGTGTGCACACACCCTCCTGGCTTGACCCCGGGGCCCAACACGGGCCTGGCCAGGACGGATGCATGCGCATGCGGTCGGAAGCTTGTGTCTTCTCCAAGGGATCAGCCACCGACGCGCCACCAGAAGGAACGCTGAAGAAGGAGCGAGGGTCACCGATTCGGGCAAGGAGGAGGGCGCGAATCGCCCAGCGTCGCCCACGCCACGGGCCTAGAATGTTGAAAAACATGCCCAGGCGCTCCCCGCCCGCCATACGCCCCCCAAGGTGGACGACCAGGGAGAGCACCAGCAGCATGGGGCAGGGGAGGGAACGACACCAGTGTCGCGACGGCGGCCCCAGCGACAAGCAGCACCCTGCGAGCCGACAGCGTGCCGCCACGCTCTGCGGAGCGGGAGGCGGGGAGAGGCTCGTGACGCTGCTGCCCGGGGACCGAGACGTGGCATGGCGTGTCGCGCCGAAGCGCGGTGGGCCAGAACCGGCGCCATCCAAAAGTCCCCGATCCCAGACCTGCGGAGGTCCACTGGTGTTTCTTGGGTCGGCGCTGGACCCCTCCTCACCCTAGAGCGCGGAGCGCGCCCAGGGACGGCACCAGAGGCGCCGCCATGGGAGTCCAGCGCTCATGCAGGAAATCCGCGCGGGCCTCCGAGCGTCGATGTCTACGCCAGCTGTGAACCACTCGTGGAAGCGGACGATGCCGGGGTGCTCAAGGCTGGTCAGCACCTCCGCCTCGGAGCTGAGCTGCAGGTGCGATCTGCTGCGTGCCTGGAATGACAGGAACTTCGACTTGTCCACCACTTTCACCGCCCGCCGCTCCCCTGTCTTCACCTGGAGCGGTCCAGAAAGGGCATCGCCATCAAGGGATCAAAAGGCCGACATCTCTTGTTTGGCGGGAGACGGCAGGAGGTCCGTGGGAGCTCCAAGATGGCTTCGTACGCTCTGAGATGGCCTCCAGGATGGGCACACTGTGGCCCAAGTTGGCCTCCAGCATGTCCCCATGGACCAGAAGGCGGCCCGGAGAGACCGCTCCAAATGGCCTCGGAACTCTCCAATGAGACCCCCAAGAGGCCCGAGCCCTTCAACAGCCCGAAGTTGTTGAATGATTTTGGCCTTCTGGCTTTTTTGCTTCCAATGGGCGTCTCAGACCACAGAGTGGCCCCACGAACGGCAACGACAGCCCCAATAGGGGCCCAGAACATGTCCAAGACGGCCCCGAGAGCGCCCCAATAGTACAACAAGAGGACTCAAGGAGATGTCGTGTCGGCCTCCGACGGGGGGGGCTCTAATTAAGCACCTCACGTTTATTCGATGGTCGCCTGGATCGCCGCAAGAAGGCCCGCCAGAGGGCACCAAGAGAGCCCCACGAGGGCCCCAAGCGAGCCCCGAAGGCTTCCAAGATGGCACCGAGAGGGCCCAAATGAGCAACCAAGAGGCTCCGATGTCGAACATACTCCTGTCTGCTCAGGATGATCCCGAGCTTCGGTTTGACCGCTGCCCCCAGTCTTCGTTCAACTGCTTGCTCCTAATCAAAGCAACTTGCCTGGACGTCGTTTCTGCATGGGCGACTAGGGACACGCGAAGCGTTAGAATTTGAAGGTCGTCTGCAACTAGATGAACCCAAGCGGGTCTCAAACTCCCTACCCTACGTCGTGATTTGTTCAAAGCGTGGACCCCGGGAGATCTCGCCCATTTCCCGGGACCCGGCTTCATCCCGAACGACTGTGATGGTCGTGTAGTCAGGTGACGGCAACCAAAGGCCGAAATTTGCCGACAAACGTCCGACGTGATTTTTGGTGACGCGAAGGGGTCCGGGGGTGTCCAGCATGCCAGCGTCGATTGGAGCCGCGGGGTTAAGGTTCACAAATGATTGCACAAGCGGGGCTTCGGCCGACACTGCCACCAGGCGATCTGGCCTGCAGCCCGACGTGCACCCTGCTGAAGAAACCGCTGCCCAGCACCTTGACGACGACGACGACGACGACGACGACGACGAACACGTCGTCATCCTCGTCTCGGAGGTCTGTCTGGAGCTTCTCGCCGTCACGGCTAGACGCTGCTTGAGATACCAGCCTGGACAGAACAGGTTCCGAGCGGATTTGGTCGGGATGAACAGCGACGACGGCGGCGGCCAGCCCGGCACGACGACGATGACGACCGGCCCGCGAAGACGAAGGCACACCTCCCTCAGGTCCCAGCTGTCATGCACCCACCGCTCGGACACCGTCTGGCTTGGCGCGGGTCCTTCGAGGGGGGGGGCGCGTCCATCTATTCGTATGTTTGCTTCTGCTCGCTTTCAACAATGGTGCAAGCGTGTGGACCCGAAGCAGCAAGTCAGTGCACTCGCATGCTATGCACGAACCATGAGGCACCAACACTAGGGCACCAACCAAATGGCACAAACCAAAGGGCACCCACGGTACGGCACCAACTACGGCACCGACCACAGGGTGCCAAAACTAGGGTGCCAACCAAATGGCACCAGCACCAACCGTATGGAACCAATCGTGGGGCGCCGATCATGTGGCACCAGCCATGAGGCACCCTAGGGCACCCACTAAAGGGCACCGACCAGGAACGGTGCCACAGGGTATGGACTAGGAACGGGGCCATCGAGCGTCGACTGGGAACGGGGCCATAGGGCGCCGACTGGGAAAGGCCGACTGCGACAAACAGAGCACAGACAGGGCACCAACCACAGAGCACTGAGCGGGTACGGCTGCAGCTGCAGCACCGACCAGGAACGGCCGATTGCAATAAACAGGGCCAGCTCCTTAGAAGCTAAGTCCAAAAAACAGCAGGCGCCATGACCTGCTCCAGGGGGACAAAACTACGGACGGGGGACCCCAGAGATCCTCGGAGGTCCCTTGAGCTCTAAAACAACGCACAAATCACAGAAGAACGTAAAACGTAGAACTAGGGCGGCGTCGGCGGCGTCGGCGACATCGGGCGACGTCGACGTCGACGACTACGACAACGGCGGCGGAGGGAGCGGCGACCACAACACCCGAACGAGGACGACGACGACGACGACGATGACGACGACGACGAGGACGACGACGGCGTCGGCGTCGGCTACGTTTTTTTCGCGACGTCGGATCTCAGGGTCCGCCTGAGAGGATTTGGCCCTCTGGGAGAGCCCCGACCCTCTGCCTGTACCCGCCGGCTGGGGACGGCGCCCAGGGCACGCACCGCAGCGCGTTCTGGCCAGAGTCTCAGAAGGAATCCAGCCGTGGCCAAAGGACGAACACCACCGACGAAGACGACGCTGACGGCTTTGACGGCGACAACGACGACGACGACGACGACGACGACGACGACGACGACGACGACGACGACGGGGCCTACCACGACGACGGGGCCCACCACCACGACGACGACGACGACGACGACGACGACGACGACGACGACGACGACGACGACGACAGCGACGACCAGCGACTGCGGCGACTGCTGGCGGCGGGCGTCGCTGGGGGGCTCCGCTGGAGGCGCCAGCACTGCATGGAGCAGCGGGCTGCACCGCCGCCGCCGGCAAGCGGGCGGGCGGCAGCGTCGCAGCGCTCGCCGGCGTCGCCACCGCCGCGCGCCCCTGGATGACGAAGAGGAATACGACTGTCGGGGGCTGCCTCGCGTCGCGCGCGTGCGTGCAGAGAGAGACCACGTCGCCGTGCTGCAGCGTTCGCGTGTCGCCTTTCCTCCGGGAGGAAGCCGGCCCTTCTGCCAGGCCTTCGGGCCTTCGGTGCTGCCCCCCCCCCCCCTCGCCACGGACGGGCGCGGCTCAGGAGACAAGCCAGGATGGATGACCCCCAGGGAAGTGCCCCAGGGTAGCTTCGTGGCACTGACCCCGGGCCCATCCTGGGGCCCAGATTGGAGTATACGCCTTCTTAGATTGGCCAGGAAGGCGATCATGCGCACCGATCTGGTGCCCATGGTCGGTGCAGGTGCATGACTGGCGCCGCCCCGACTTCCTCATGCGGTGGTCGTTGATGAAGCTGCCGTTGGCGCCCAGCTGCTCTAAGAAGAAGTGGCGCGGCCCACCCACCTCGGAGCAATAGACGCGTAAGTGGCGGGCGGAGATCTTCGGATCCTGGGGCACATCCTAAACTGCATGAGCAAACCATCATCGGAGGTTCGCGCGGATCTCTTGGGTCGGCGCTGGGCCCCGCAACCCCTTCTTCCCAAGCGCGCGGAGCGCGCCAGACGGCGCTGGAGGCGCCAGGCCTCCGCAACGTTCTCATGAAATGTTTGCTCGTTGTGCCGAGATCAAGTCGGTTCCCGAGCCCCTTCCCTTCTGGGGCACCCTGGCCAATTGTTCTAACCCAAATTGATGTTTGCCGGTGCCGGGGCCCGACTCAGGCGCCAGAAGCCTGAACTCAGGAAAAGACTCGCAACTCGAAACCAGACCTCTGCAGGGTACGTTCTGACCAGAACTTCGAAGAGAATCTGACCGCCGTGACTATGGGTACGGGCCAGTCTGGTTGATCTTTCAACCAAGAACTGTGCGAAAAGGCATCCCAACTGATGCGAAAAGGTAAGGTGGACACTTCGACCTCAGAAAAATGAAGCGGAAATAGCCACCCTCCTTTCGAAATAGCCCAAACTACGTAGAGCGGATCTGGAGCCAAAGGGGGAGGAGGAGGAGGAGGAGGAGGAGGAGGAGGAGGAGAGGGAGGAGGAGGAGTAGGAGGAGGAGGAGTAGGAGGAGTAGTAGGAAGAGGAGGAAGAGGAGGAGGAGGAGGAGGAGGAGAAGGAGGAGGAGGAAGAGGGGGAGGAGAAGCACCAGCAGCAGTGGGTGCAAGTAAGAGGAGGAGAGGAAGGAGGCGCGGCTCGATCCTTGAGCTTTGTTTTCAGTCTTCAGGGTCCTCCAGCACCACGTCGCACGCGGCGTGTCGGCCGAGCGCGAGCTCCTCGCCCCAAAGCTGTACACATCTGGCGCCACCCTCCTCCCTTCCATGCTGCGCTGAGGGCTGTACCACGATGGTCATCTCCCCCCTCCCCTGTCCCATCCCTCCCTCCCTCCCTCCCTCCCTCCCTCCCTCCTCCTCCTCCTCCTCCTCCTCCTCCTCCTCCTCCTCCTGCCCCAGACCTCCAACGTGTCAAACTAGTCGATGTGGATTTGTTTCGCCGTGTTCGACCTCGATGGGGCAGGGGCCCCTTGCCAAACTCTGGGGCAGTCAACAAAATCTGCTCAGGATGAAAAGGGGACTTCCGGGGACCCCGCATTCTACAAAAACAATGCCGCGGATCTCTGGGGAGTTGTCTCGGCTTGTCTGGCTGCTGCTCCGGGGGGGGCATATACTCGGGGGGGGCAGCACTGCTCAACAGCATGTTGGTAGCGAACCTCGCAGGGCGGTCCTTTTCTTTCGGAGGGGATCAACCGAACATGATCCATATGCCATTATTCGATGACATCGCTAGAGCTCCGAAGCCACCTCCTCCTCCCCCAGCGCCACCTCCTCCTCCTCCTCCTCCTCCCTCCCTCCTTGTTTTTCCCTACCATCCTATGGTGTTGGGTCCTCGTTTTGAAGAGACGGCGCCCCGCGTCCCACTCCTCCTCCCGCTGACCCCTCCCTCCTCCTCCTCCTCTGCCTCTGTGCACCTGTCTTCCGCATGTCTCTGTTTCGGCACACGCCTCACACGTTTCGTGGCTCCATAAGGAGCTCCACCGAAGGCCCCAGTAGGGGTGCCCGCCTGCGCCCCTCCCACGCAGTACAGCGTTTCGTGGCTTCACAGGGAGCTCCCCCGACGGCCCCAGTAGGGGTGCCCGCATGCATCCCCCCCCACCCAGTACAGCGTTCCGTGGCCCCTCAGGGAGCTCCACCGGAGGCCCCAGTGGAGGTGCCCGCATGCGTCCTCCTCCCCCCCCCCCAGTACAGCGCTCCGTGGCCGCATAGGGAGCTCCACCGACTGCCCCAGTGCTGCCGCCCGCGTGCGTCCCCCCCACCCAGTACAGCGCTTCGTGGCCGCATAGTGAGCTCCACCGACGGCCCCAGTGCTGCCGCCCGCATGCGTTCCCCCCCACCCAATACAGCGCTCCACCGAAGAAGATATTCACAATTGCGGTATTCCCAACTGCATATGGTCAGGTCCTTCGCCAGGAACATTTCCTCCGCGACTGGTTTGCTTTACGCTACACACAGTTTGCACACCCTTGGCCATGGAAAACTCACTGGCCCATCGAAACAAAACAACACAAACAACGAAACATACGTATGGCGATGTATGGGTAAAACATTATCCCTCTCCTCCTCCTCCTCCTCCTCCTCCTCCTCCTCCTCCTCCTCCCCCTCCCTCCCCCTCCTCCCTGAACATCCGACGTCACAGACATGCATCAACGCAGAACATGGCGACTCGAAGCCTACGTGCACCCCATCTCTAAGCGTCAATTCTGGAGCTGGATCGATCCGCTAGAGCCCTGGGCCCGAATCCTGACGAACACGCCTGGTGTTAAAGAACATGCGACGTCTGGTTATCAGAGCCCTCGATCCTCCTTCCTCGTCGCCGTCGCCGTCCCCTTCGCCGCCGCCGTCGCCGTTGTCGTCGTCGTCGTCGCCCTCGTCCTCGTCCTTCCCCTTCGCTTCGCCCCCGTGAGGGGCGTCCTCGTCCAGACGGCCCGCCCAGCCGGGCCACGCGGCACGGGCCCCTAGTCACAGGCGCGCGATCGTTATCCCTCCTCTCTCTCTTTTTGTTTGTTTCTCTCTCTCTCTCTTTCTCTCACTCTTTTTATTGTGTGTTGAGTGTTGTCTCTCTCTTCTTTTTTGTTTTCTTTTTTTTGTCGCTCTCTCTCTCTCTCTCTCTTTTTCTCTCTCTCTCTCTCTCGTTCTATCCTTCTTTCTTTTTTTGTTTGTCTCTCTCTCTCTCTCTCTCTCTCTCCCCCATCCCAAAGGGGCGGACCCCGAGGAGCGCGAAGCACGACATGCAAGGACAAGCAGAGGCGCGCGGGGCAGCAACCCCAGGCCCCACGGCATGAGGTGCCCCGGCAGGGGCGGGCCGGGCCACAGGCGCCACGAGCGAACCCTCGACCAGGGCCCAGTCCACCACCTCGGCCTCCTCCACGGGGTAGGAATCGATGCGGACGAGGAGGGCCGCCAGCCACGGGTCCTGCGGCCACATCGGATCGCCGCCACAGCGCTGAGCGGGCTGCGACTCCAGGATAGCTGCAGCCAGAAACTCCAGAAGGCCTCGCGGCAGCGGGTGCAGGCGGCCACCCTCGAAGGCGACCTTCGGCGCAGCGACAAACGTCGCTGCAAGAAGGCCTCTGCTACCGGCCTGCAGCTGATTGCCAAAACTCTCGAACAACTGCTGGGAGCTGCCAAAATCGGCCACGTTGATCTTGACCAGACTTGCAACACCAAAAACCGTAGGAGCCGCCGCAGCATCCAGCTTCCAGAAACAAGGCGCGCGCGCGCGCCACAACATAACCAACATTGACCATCGAACAAACTGCAGCAGAAACCGCCAACGCCAGAAGAAGAGACGCACGCCTGATGCGACAATTCTCCCCTCGGAGCGTCTTCGCCCAAAACGAGCAGAGATGGAACTGGCCAAGGCAAATCCTCGGAGCGAGCCTGACTGGATGAGGCACATGATGAACGGAAGAAGGCCTGCCAATAATCACCAGGCGGTGCACCAATAATTCCAAGGAGTTCACTAGCTTGAACTGTTGCCACCAACTGCATCAGAAATTGATTGCTCACAGCTTTACCCCAGACCTCGGAAGCAGAGCGATCAATTTGCCAGACATTGACAGGAATGGCCACCGAAAAAGCAGAAAACACTTGCAAACGCCACGTCGGCCCGCGGTTCAAAACCAACAGGAAGGACATGTTCTTATACAGGCCTGCGCAAGACTGGTTGTTGAGCATGCTCACTTAGCCCGGGGGAACAAGATATCCACGGCGGAAGCAAACGAGAATCGGCAGGGAGCACAGGACATATCGCTATTGTAGTTCCCAAACTTCGCCAGCAGAGAGGCTGAGGTACGCATGGGAATAATACGCGTGATGGATGACGAAGCCCATGCTTGGCCAAACCCGGCGCATGTGAAGAGCCAAATCAGCAAACGGATGAAGCAGCATATTGCTACAAACCAAAGAGCCCGATCCTCCACTGTACGTCGGGAAAAACAGCGGCATAGCATGGAGCCGCTGGACTATGCAAAAATCGCACGCTCCTCAGGATGATGGGCAGCAGATCCCACTTGATCTGATAATAGCTCGACGGAACGGCTGGACAGACCAGCGTGTGAATCCATCTGGTGAATCGACCGCACCCGTCATCGAACAAATTCTGAGCAAGTTCCAAAACAGCTCGCTGTACAGGTCCAGGCCCCTCTTGCTTCGCCAAAAGCGCCGGTGGTGGTCGTGAATTCGCATGGGCGAACCATGCTAGCAGCGATGCTCTGGGGAAGCGAGCTCATCGTGCCTTTGGTCGCGCGAAGTAGGACTTCGCGGCGGACACCCTGTGGCAGCAGCGAGATGAGCGGATGCTTCTTGCCTTGAACCAAACCAGCAAGTATCAGTAACACTTCCATGTCATGAGTGAACCTCTGTCCAAACATAGCGGGCCCTGAACGCTATAGAGACACGCGCTTATAGAGCTAGATCAAACAGCTAAACCTAGATCACGAAAGCAGGGGACCCATCACATGGGTCAAACTTTCTCTGATGTTTAGCTTTCCCATTCGGGAAACAGCTCCTGTGCAAGCAAAACAACATCCCTGGCATAACAGGGACGGCTAGGAAGGTGAGATGACAAAGGAGGAGGAACCGCCTTGACCGCCGGCTCCTGGGATCAGCTGGCCCGATGAGAGCTCGGTCCACGACGCGAGACGGGAATCTTGGTCGAGTATCCTCTTCGAAGCTGCATGAGAACGGTCTTTGGCTCCGATGCTCCTTCCGCCCAGCCATCTCGGCATGTTCATCAATCAGCACCAGCTGACTTTGGCCAGAAGGCTGGCCAAAGCAGCGTTGATCTTGCTCACGTCATCCTTCGCGAGCGCATTCACGGGCATTCGCCCGCACAGCACCCAGCGCACGTGGCCTCGGGCCCCCTCGAGAGCCTGACAGACGCCCGTGCAATCTAATGCTGTGCGCCTGTCTCGGGCGTTCGCATTTCCATCCTAACTTAAGCATCGTTTCGTATATGCTCTCGGCATCCACGACATGGACTTGGCCCCCCCGGCTACCCAAACGGCAGTTCCTTCTCAGAGCGGTCGCGAACGGTCGGAACCCTCGGGGCACATCGGACGCCTCGACATCGCGAAAGAACACGTCCCTATCAGGAACCTGCAAGAACTCTACTTCCGCTACTGCCGCTGAAAGCGCTTGGGTCTCACCTGCCAGAAGTGGAGCTCACCTTGCGCCAGAGTTTCGAACTCCTCCATCCTAAGACGGAGGCCTTGACGGCGCAGTTACCCAGCGCGCCCCTGTCCGTCGCCAGGGCCACCCACGCCCCCAGGGCTGGGTCTTCCGGGAGACCCCTCTCATCTTCGAGCCCCTCGCTTGCACAAACGCCTCCGGCGCCCGAAGAAGAAACAAAGGCCATTCGATCGGGGTCGAGACCCCAGATGCTTAGGCCGCTCGAGGCCGTAGCTCGAAGATACCTCGCCGTGAGATTGGAGATGGTGACATCATTGGTGGTGACGCACTTTCGTCTACTAGCTATAGAACGCTGGCAGCCCCGGCGGCTTCGGGCCAGTTCTCGCGGCCCACCCAATTTAGCCTGTTGATTAGAGAGCGGGGAAACTTAAACTCGGCATTGGTGAGCGGTGCTTTCTTCAGCCCGAGCCCGCCCCGCTCCATGCTGACAGGGCGCGCTTCCTCTAGGATCTACTCCTCTTGGACATGAAGGGCCCTCTGGGCCCCGAAGGTGACGCGGCGGCCCGCGTGCTCGACGGCCCCCTGGC